GCATTTAAAAGACAAAGTTTAATTGACATGAAATTTTTGAACATTTTTTTCGATTCTGAAGCGCTGAATGAGTTTAACAAGCGCTGAATGAGCTTAACAAGCGCTGAATTAGCTGAATAATTATTTAATTGCCTCAATGAGGTACTTATAAATTAGATTTTGATCAATTTGGATCACTTTTGATCATTCTTATCAGTTCCGCACCCTTGGAATATGTACTTAATTGATAGAACAACGCTGAATGATTTTTACGAACGCTGAATGAGTTTAACAAGCGCTGAATGAGCTTAACAAGTGATTAATGAGCTTAACAAGCGATGAATGAGCTTAACAAACGCTGAATTAGCTGAATAATTATTTAATTGCCTCAATGAGGTACTTATAAATTAGATTTTGATCAATTTGGATCACTTTTGATCATTCTGATCAGTTCCGCATGGAATATGTACTTAATTGATAGAACAACGCTGAATGATTTTTACAAGCGCTGAATGAGTTTTACAAGCGCTGAATGAGCTTAACAAGTGATTAATGAGCTTAACAAGCGATGAATGAGCTTAACAAACGCTGAATTAGCTGAATAATTATTTAATTGCCTCAATGAGGTACTGATAAATTAGATTTTGATCAATTTGGATCACTTTTGAACATTTTGATCAGTTTCGCACCCTTAGAATATGTACTTAATTGATAGAGCATCACTAAACGAGTTTAAAAAACGCTGAATGAGCTCAACAAACGATGTTTAATGCAGACTTTGACAAAATAGCAACCTTTGAAAAATATTATAATTTATGAATTTAAAAAATTCAAACCAGTTAATTTGTGTCAACCTTAAGTTTCAGTCTCAACCAGCATTCAATAATAATTTCAAATAAAATGCAAACATTGTATACATAACAGGTTAGTGAAATCATTTTTATCAAGAAACTCAATGATATTTCCATCGTAATACGATCGTACACATGAATAACTTTCAAGGATATTTGCATGTGAATGGAAGCAATAATATGCCAACCGCCATTTCATCTGTAATGAAATTACATATAAACACATACTCACAAAATAAAACAGTGAGCCGGAAAAAAATGCGTTGTTTCAACTATACCGTCAATTACGATACTCGTCATCATTAAAAGCATCAACAGCGATAACTTAATTGGTTTTTATTTTATTTTTTTTCCCTTCCTCGATCCATTTACGATGGAATAAAGAGAAAAGAAGGAAATGAAACGAATCAAGAATGAAAACAAAAGTTAATAATTCGATTTGTCGTTCGAAAGACTTGAATCCATTAAATCCTCCATCCTTCATAGTATTTTTAAGTGAAAATTATTTAATGTTTTATTAAATGCAAACAGTTTAATTCGCAATCATGGGAAAATATTTTTCAGAAATAGATAGAAGTGAGCTATTAACGGTACTTAGGGGACTTTAAATGTTATTTTTAATAACCGAATGTGATTGAATTTCAATTCTGTTTTTCACCCCTCCGCCTGCCTGCAATGTTTTAAAAATTCAGAGAGAAAAAATACATTTTTGACTCGTGGGATCATAAAAACTTCTGTTTTCGCATGGTGGAAATATTTTAAAGTCATACAGTGCATGGATATACCACCCTCGATTAAATACGAATGTTTATTATAAGGAAAATACGTTTTTATCATTACGAATGTGGTCTTATTCAATTGTTGAAAAGGATTACAGTAAAGTGTATAAGCTCATTTCATTTTCATCTCTCGTTCGTTCCCATGCTTCTAATGAGAAAGTTATTATTATTTTTTTATTTCCATTTTTATTAGTGTCAGGAAATTTTTTTTCTCTAGAGAATCCTCAAAAATTCTACATGAGAAAAATGTTATCGTGAGAAATTGCAAATCTTGGGGTGAATTATGAGAATTTAAAGTTTATAAAAAGTGTAATTAGTTGTGAGTAGGAAGCATCAAAATACATTGCAAAAAGTTTTGATGATGTGATGAGATTTAAGGGAATTTCGCAAGGGACGTGTATCTTGTAATGCTTGTAAACCTTATAGGAAGAAGAAAAGGAATAAATAAATCAAGGGAGAACAGAAAAGGTGAACGAGAAAGAAAACAGACAATTTATTATGTATTTTGCACACGTTTTATGTACCTATTCTTGCTATACCTTCCTTATGTATAAAAATATTTTTGTTTTCTGATAATTTACCAATTTTAAGTGAATGAAGATTGAATCTAGTCGTAAAGTAGATCATAGTTTATGTGGATATTCACACTACTTATGACAAAATGTCTTTTGTATTTTGAGTGTTCGTACAGAGAAAAGAGTTGTGGTATGAAAAACTTAATTCGGGCCATAGTAACCAAAATGTTCCATATAATCTTCCTTCGACGTCGATGGAAGATCAAATGTATCATTATTTATTATATGGAAAATATTTGTTTTACATATATGTAACAGAAGTATAACACGAGCCCGCTTAAGTTCAAAACCTACGTAAAATCATCAAAAAAGTATTTTTTTGCAGGAAAATAATATTTGTTCTAAATTTGGCATTTGCCATATACTTCACAAGTGCTCGCAGAAATCACTATTATAAGTTCTTTCTAATTTTGTATGGGGCTTTTAATTAATTATTTATCGTCCTCAGGTTTGTGTGCGAGTCATGGGCTTTCATCAGTATGCGACTTAATTAAATTTCATCAATCATCAATTAATCTTCATTTCAGCTTAACTTACATTATAATGTAAGTTAAGCTGAAATTTACTAGTAATTTACTGGATAACTTTTCATTTGCTACTTGCTATTTACTAGTCAAAATCCAAGTTCAAATCATCGTCAAAGACCCGCATTTTTACTTGCTAATTGACTAGTCAATTCGCTTATAATTTAACTGGTAATTTACTAGCAAATTTGTAAAAAAATTAAATGAATATAACCGTTAATTTCCGCGTGTTCTTTTGATTTTTCTTATTTGTGTAAATTATTGTAAAAGTATTAGTGTGTACTTAGTTTAATTAATTAAATTACACTAACACTATGAAAAAAAAATAAAAGACTTAATTTAATTAAGTCAAATACTGATGAACGCCCATGACTCGCACGCAAACCTGAGGAAGATAAATAATTAATTGAAAGTAATATAATAAGCAGTTAAGTGCCTTGCTGGTCGAATAGGTAAGGCGCTTGGCACAAATTTGGGATGGTAACTCGAAGGTCGTCAGTTCGAATCCAGCCATTTCCAAATTTGTTCTTTTTCGGAAGTTTAGATACTTCGACTGCTTAATGTAGGAGATCAAGCCATAATTGGGCATTTGGGCAACGTTGGATTAAGGAACGGGTCATTAACTTGAAGTGTAGTGGGAGAAATAGGAACGAGAGCTACAAGATTACCCACGAATGGAATATTGTTAGAACGGACCTGAAAAGTATTACGTCACGCCTACAGAAGATCGAAACGAGAGCCTCAGTTTATTTGAAACCTAGATTTGAAGATTAGCAGTTTGATCCTACATAATATTAATTCATATGTATACAAATACAAAAGTGTAAAATGTGAATTATTACCGGACAGTATGTCGTCAATAAATGCAATAAAGTGCAATTAAAGTCACATACAAATTTGGATCTACATTATAAAGCGCTCTTGTAAAGTATATGTCAAATGCCAAATTTAAAACAAAATTTTTTATGACGCAAAAAATTCTTTCTTTGATGATTTTTCGTAAGATTCGAACTTAAGCAGATTTGATCAAACATTTCACATGGTAATTTGCTAGTAATTTGCTATTAAATAGAAAGTGTAATTTAGTAACAGTAAGTTGTTTTAATAATAACTAGTAAATTGCAAGTAGTAGAATAGAAAGACTAGCAATTTGCAAGTTAGTCTCGCTAGGGTTAGGATTTAAAAAACTTATTATTTACTTTTAAAACTATCGAATTTTAAGTTTCCAATAATGGAAATCAGAGCTCGAAGTCGATAGGGTTTGAGTCGACTCGAGTCTACTTCGAGCTCTGATGAAAATAAGTTTACTAAGTTATCTTTGATAAATCAATTCGTAGTTGCAATCCGGTGTGAATATAAAAAGACTTACAACTCTTTGTAAGATAAAAATCTGACACATAAATTTTTAATCTTAAGGTCAACATCACATTTGTTGATTACCTTCTGACTTTTTTATGGAGATACTTTCATGGATGTTTTTTTTTTATCTTAAATTTTCGTGGCTTTAAATTTTCCTCAAATTTATTTTTATTTTTTTAATTTCTCCAAATTGATACATGACAGTTGATACATGATTGTCATTGACATTTTGCAATTCAACTCACAACAATCCTGTCTATTAAGAAGAAAATTCACTTCTATCTGCCGTGACAACATTTTTACTTCTCATGTATTCATTCTATATCAATTTTGACTTGATATATACACAGAAAGTTTTCTCGTTAAATAGATTCCATCAAACTTTCTACATCGTCACTTTCTCTTATTTATAGAACAGAATACAATGAAGAAAGTTTCCCAAAAGATATCGGGTGATGGATTTATTTTTTGGAATTAATTAAACGCAATTTTTAGCAAGTCAAGAATTTTTATGACAAACATTTTGAGTTCGTGTATACCTTCACATCCATAATTTACTTACAATATTTGAACGAATACAATGATTTGCCTGAGGGTTGAATAAATTAAATTAAATACAAATTTGGATTGAATCAACGCGGAATGTTGTTTGCTCTTTATTGATAAAGTTGAAACATCTTTAACACGTGTTTTTCGTTCCAATCGTTGCATTCATCCACAAAATTAAGCGAAAAAGAAAACAAAATGCCATAAAAAAGTTCACTGATGTGCGACAGAAGACAAAAAAAATCCCTCAATTTAAATTTACATTTTTGTATTCCTTAAGAATTTCTTCGGGGGAAGAGAAATGTGTCCAAAAATTGAGTGGCATTTTGAGTATGTGTGTGGCAAGTAATTGCATAATATAGGCTTTTTAAAAATGATTTATTATAGCGAATATTTTGGAACAGAAACCACACGACAAGAGACATTGAATTGAAAATCATTCACATGTTCTGACACTGTTTTCACTTTCGTTATGATTCACTTATTTTTCATGTATGTACATGGAGAAAGTCTATTGAATCAATTGGCTCAAATCGATTTCTCATTTTCATCCTTCTTATTAAACTTTTTTTGCTTGTTCTTCGAAAATAGGCAAGACTTTTTGATGACGAACGTAATTTTGTATGCGTATACAATCTTACAGGGTGCATGAATAGCTTTTTGAAGATTTTATAGGATTTTTTATTCAAAAGTTGTCAAAAATTTATTTTTCAATATTTAAAGACTTTCATAAATTCAAATTTTATCCGCTTTTTAAAATTGAAAATTTCAACGGTTTTTAAAAATTCAAATTTTAATGACTTTATTGTAAGTTCAAAATTTAACGACTTTTGAAATTCAAAATATGACGGCTTATTTACAGTAAAAATTTAACGAACTTTTAAAATTCAAATCAATTTTATTTTTAAATCTTAAAATTACGTTACAAAACTTTAATCAAATTATAACCACTTATTGAAAATTTATATCTCATATCAATTTCTTCATACTTTGAAACAAAGGCGAAGCTCGTTGTTCCATGATTTTGTATATTTACATTGAAACGGATATTTAGGAGGCCTAAAATGATGAAAAGCTTTCAGACTTTTCAAATAAAATGATTGGATAAATTGAGGTAGGTTTACGATAATACGATGACGAGAAGGAATTTCAAGCTTGCTTTTTTTCTTTTCGTTCAATCAACTCGATGTCATAAGACTGACATTAAAGAGGGAAAATTTTCATCTGGTGCGAGGCAAGCGTACCAAGAAAATGATTAGATGAACTCAGATGAAGTGAAAAACTTTGTTAAAGATTTCAAGCTTCTTTTATTTCAACACTTCTTCTCGCAAATCTGAATTCTGACGAATGCTTAATAAATCATTTAAGGAATATCTCAAAATTGAGTTTTCTTAAAGGACCAAAGCAATTTATTATTTTCGTTTTCTGTCCCAATATACAAATTCCGATATGGAAATACGAAAATTTATTGTTTTTTATAGACATTCAATTTTGACTTGCTTTTTGCAAAACAAATGATCCACTTTTGTTCAATTTTCTTTGACTGAATTTATTGCATTGTCTAAGTGGGTTTGCTTAGGGGCTGTTCACTTATTACGTAACGCGAAAAAATGACTTTTTAGACCCCCCCCCCCCCTCGTAACAAAATTTGTATGAAAAAAAAAATTTCCTTGTTTGAACCGTAACAAAATCTTAGACCCCCCCTCCCCCCTAAAAGCGTTACGTAATAAGTGAATGGCCCCTTATTACTTTTAAGACATAACATTTATTTAAATTATTGTCTTCTTGTTCATGCTTTCTTCAAGTTTGCTTCTTTATGTAGATTTTATTTTTGGAAATAACTTTGAGAAGATTCACTTAACGTTCGCTGAAGACGTTCCATTAATATTAAATGACTTTAAGATTTTTAACGTATTTTCAAAAATTTTTAAATTTTCGATTCGAAAAATTCAAATTTTAAAAATCCGTTAAATTTTTAAATTCATTTTCAGTGTTATATTCATTCTAATCCATGCTATATAAACATCGAATACGAAAATCAATCATAATATTTATCCCAGATTGCTTTATTGAAAATGTCCATTAGATCTGTGAAATCCATGAAGTGTAAAATTCCATTATACAATATTTTTCAAGTTCCGAATACGAAAGATTAAATAATTTGTAATAAAAATATGTGCAGGTTGAATAAAATTTAACTTTTTACCTTCACAACAAGCAGTCAAGTCAGTTAGTGGAATGGAATCAGAAATTCAATAACTCAATGTAAATTTTTTTCATTCAATAAAAACATATTTTTGACGTAAATTGGATTTGCGTAGAGAAGTAGTGGCAACAAAAAGCAATAAAAACTTGACCCACCTAAAAAGAAAAATCCGTAAATGCGTTAGAAGAATGTGTATAAAAGGAAGTTTATGGAAAATTACATTTTCTTTTCGTCAAATGGAAATGACGAAAAAAAAATCGATGCGAATAGAAACGAAAAAAGCTTTTTAATAATCCTCTCGCGTTTTTAGCTGACATGAACATACGCAAAAGTTTTCTTCTATCAAACTTTCACAACCTTTTTCTATTTTTTTGTTATTTTTAATATCCATCAACATTTTTGTGAAGCGGTTAACGCTGATGTCATTAAGCGGAATTCTTCAATGAATGTCGTATGAAGGAAAAAGCTCAAAAGTCATCGTGCGACGGACGATTAAAGGGCAAAGTTTTTTGTCTGATTAATGACAAATTAGTTTCAGAAAATCAAGGTCAAATGTTTGAATGAAGTTTAAGCAATTTTGGATATTTTAATTATCAAAGTTTAAGTTATTTATCATTATTAGATCAGCATTGTGATGAAGTTTATTTTGATACTTAATTCCTTGAAAAACAAAATTTTCACTTTTATAAGTTTGTAAACAAAGATTTGAATTTAATCCTCATACCTGAACCTAAGACAGACATTTAGCAAACCTTTTACTGCATAATATATTCCAGTCGTCTATGAAAATGAGGAATTAGCTCATAATCTACTAAAATCCTTTTCATACACACAAAATAGTGAAACTTTAAGGATACGATGACTAATTGAGTATAAGACGATAATGGATAAGGATATCAACATGTTAAAATATCGGAAATACTTTCATTAGCATTAATTTAGCTTCGTCTTGGCACATTTACAATCCCTCAAAGTTTACAGTTAAAGCTATTTAGTCGCCAATGTAATCCATTACTATTCTGACTACACTGATATAAAACAACATCCTTTTTTTGATTCATTACAATCTACACGAAGTAAAAAGTGAATGAAAATGTTTGCATGCTTCTTCTCCAAAAAAAAAATTCATTATTTTTTATTGTTCATGGCTTTAATTTCTTTCACATGATGAGGGAAAAAAGTCAAACGTTTTTATACAAGCAGTGCTGAAATTAAGCAAACAAGATATTGCTGTAAATTTTGATACATATGAGAATTAATACGGTATAAAGTAAAATAAGCCGAGGGTATTGTCGATATTTTATTGCATGACTCAGCTGGTGTTTCTGAAATAAAAACAATAGAAAAAAGATGAAAATGTGTATGACATGGATCAGGGGTAGATCTATAGCTTTGTTCAATATTTAAACCCTATTTACTTACCTCGTAAAGATCAATTTGTGATCCACAGCGCCTGAAGTTGTCTCCCGTTTGCCAATTATCTATAGTTATTTGGATTCAAACTTGAGTCTTCAGTTAAAAGGAGGGAGGGTTTGGATTATTAATTTGGGTCTCGAACTTATGAACCTTTTTATTGACTCAGTTGAACCCTTGAATAACTCTATCAAGTCTCAACTCATAAACTTAATCCTAAATACACACCCTTCCATGGATAATACAAAATTCACACAAAAATTTACCGTTCGTGCTGAAAAAGGAGAAGTAAAGCATAAGCATGCAAATCATCACAAAACACGTTGAACGATTTTCAATTTAATTTCATATTTTATTCATTCTTTTTATGATTTCTCATTTAATCACATTAAACTTGAACATTTTTCGCTTTATATTTCTTTTACTTTATAGCTAGTAAGTACCCGAAGAATAATCAAGAGAAAATAGAATCGTTTTTATGCCTTTTTTTCCATTTCTTTTAAGGACAGAAGACATTGTGAAAAGAAATAAGAAATTACTTCTAATTTCATAAAGCATGTAGTCTCTGTTATACTTGTATAAATTATTAATAATTCTAATCATTATTCATTATCATATTTTCCTATCTTTTTGCCGTATTTTATTTTTTGTTATTTTGGTAAGCACAAGGAAAAGTGAGACGAAAAACGTTTGCTAATAATCTACTTCTTGATAAAAAGCTAGAATGGTCTTGTTTGTTAAATTATTAGTACTTCTCTAAACAAATTTATTGGGTAATTAAATAATATCCTCGATATATCTTACAGCTTAGGTTCTTACGTCTTATTCTTTTTTTGATTAAATTAAAATTATATCTATCCTATGTTGCACAAAATGGGTCGATTGCTCTCAAATGGGGGAGGTTGAAGGAGGTTTAATCCTAGTATTAGGGGCGCATCTAGTATTTTTAAGGTTAGGAAGTTCTTATTTTTCGAGAAATTTGTAATTTTAGTGTACATTTCTAATAATTATTATGATTGAGATAATCAAAATACAGCTAGTTTTTTTTTTAAATTAAAATGTAACGCACTTTCTTATTTTGAAATTTATGATTTAGAAGAAACATAATCGGCCTGTTTCACTAAGGTGGATTATCCTCATTTTAGGATTATCTATTTCTTCGATGCGTAGAAAATCCAAATAATTTTTTTCTGATGTAGAATTAATTGGTTAATAATAATCAGAACAGTTTGATAAAAAAATCTTTTTATTTTATAGTGAATAAAGCGAAAAAATAATTTTAGTTCATGGATTATCCTGAAGACTATCCGAATTTTCAATCATGGTGGGACCCAGTTTAACATTTTAGATTAATTATGTGGATACTCCCTAGATAATCCTAAGATAATCTTCGGATAATCCACCTACAAGGATAATCTTTTTTCGTGAAATCCATCTTAAAAAAATTATTTTCTTTAAATCTATTTTTTCTGATTCACCGTGCAGTTTAACGAATTAAAAAAATTTATCGATTATCCTCGGATTGAAAAATTGGATAATCCGATTGGTAGATAATTCACCTTAGTGAAACAGGCCGAATAATAATAAAAATACAAATCTACACCTCAAAAGATTCAAAAGAACTTCGTATAAAAATAAATGACACTAGAACTTAGCTTCAAGATCAAAATCGATAAGACATCTCATACAGATCTAACAAAAAGAGAAGGTCAAACAATGTCTCTGAAAATTACCCATTTAAGGCTAAATCGACCCATAATTTTTCATATGTGTATATTGATAAAAGTACATCATTATTTAATCTTTGGTCTAAGACATTCTTCCGCTTTTTTTGACATGTGAGTGTTATATACGTTTGTCCCCGAAAGGAATGTTCAGGTGTGATAAAATATTTGAATAGAAGTATTATCAGTGTCATGGAAGGTATATAAACTAATTGTGTACTTGATATTGAAATATCTCTTTTACACTTTCATTGTATGTATATCATTGACCTTTTTTATTGTTGTTGTAAAGGAAAGTCTTTTTATTTTCGATATGCGACACTTTTATATACCTTATAGGAGGTTCCTTCATTAAATTGTGTATATATACGAAATAAATTTATTTATAACTCAAGTGCCTTAAGCTCGAAGGTTGAGAATTGAATGGAATGTATATATTTTTTTTACAAAGTTTCTTTTCCTACTCTTTTACATAATAAAAAGAAAAGTAAGGAAGGAATGAACGAAAGGAAATTTTCTCGTTTTGATAAGCGAATCTTTTAGTTTCCTTTTTTTCTCCTATTCAGTGCCTGCCTCAACGCATTTTTGATGAATCATTGACTATTTGACTCACATTCAATGGCTGATCACGAAATATTCTAATCTAATTACGTAAACGCATCAAAAATATTTCAATTTTATAAACCTGAAGTTAGATCAAGTATTAAAATTTTTGAATTTAAAAAAAGCCGTTAAAACTTAGTAGGGACGGAAATTGATCAATCACAAGAAAAATGCGCTTTAAACTCTTTCCAATATACAATATAGACTATTACAAAACTAATCTCATTCTTTTCCAAATTCCACACCAATAAAAATGTTTATTCTATTTCTAATGCGTATCAATTCAATGTGTATTCTAATAGAACCAAATATTACTTTTCGTTTTCCTACGTCTTGCTACATGCTGCTCTCATGTGTGAGTTTGTATTGAAATGGAGAAAATTAAAGAAGTTAGGAGAGCTTTTCAGCAGTAACGTGATTGATATTGTTGATATTATTAAAATGCGCACTTTGTGAACTTGCTTTATATAAATCGGGAAACATTATGGAGACACGCTGTTCGAGTTCTTCATTAAATGAATTGTCATACGTTTCATCATCCTGCCATGTATCTAATGCTCTCATATTGTTATAACTACTATTATTATTATAATTCGTCGAGAAGAACAGCTGAGATCCAAATCCACTGTCATTTAACTGACTCGCATTATTAATTGGCTTGCCATGCTTCCGAAGTTCTAGAAAGTTTTTCCATTGTATATCATCCTCATCGTCAGCTTCATATGATGTTATAAATGTTGAGCTGGTCAAGATTGAATCGTCGTTTCTCTCGTCATCATTATTAACGTGGATGTACGATGACGGCGATTCATAATTATTAGACGAACATGGGGATGATGGCTTTACTTTAACTTTTTCAAATACAACATTATCTAGGGAATTGGTCGATAAGCATGACTGTTCTTTCATAATATTAAATTTCAGCTTTTCCTCACTATTTTCAATTGCGCTTTTTGATAGTTCTGACTCATTATCGTCATCGTAACTAAAATCGTAATGCCTTAAGAATCCGTTTAATTTGCACGGTCCACTTGTCGGATAAATTACTCTTCGATTCTTTTTTAGGGAATTATTTGAGCCGAGAGACGAATGTGTCCTAGCACTAAGGCTAATATAAATTTTATTATCTGTAAATACCACATTTTCATCTTGAATACAATTAATTTGTTTCTCGTAATTATTGTTGAGACGTTTCTTGATGCAGCTCTTTATATAGCTTTGACGCTTTCGATCTGGTACTGTAAAATCATCATCATCATCATCCAGATCATCATTTTTTGACTTTTTATGTCTCGTGCTATCTCTTTTGTTATTTTTATGACTTAAACGTTTCATCCTACTATGTCCATTCGATGAGGGCGAAATTGTAATCGAATGGTTCTTTTGGGGTTGATATTTTGCTTTATATTCGTTGCTACTCGACTCTGCCGTAGACTTGAGTGATAACTTACGAAAAAGCTGTTAAAGAGAAAAGAGACATAAATATTATTAAGCATAAAAAATGATTAATCTTCTCTCTCACTCCCACTTTCTCTGTCCTGAATTGTCACAATTATTATAGCATGAGAAATTCATGATTGCAATGAAAGACTTTTAAGGAAACAACATTAAAATGCCTGTCAACTTTAAAGCACATTTGGGCGATTCGATGAGTAAATGGAACTGAAAATTTTTTGTTCAAAAACTTTTTTAGATTTTTCTGCTTAAATATACATATTTCAACATATATTTTCACTAAATAAGACTTATTATTCATCAATTCATGTGTTATTAGCATTTAATCGTCTTAATTATGCTGCATTTTGACAAAAATATGTAATATGTTTTGCAATAATCGGTTGAAAGTTGACCGATTAAGTGGTGTTTTCCCCCAATTTTCTCCTTAATTACAGTAAAAAGACATACAAATAAGATATTGTTATAAAGCACAGGCGATTTCACGTGTGTTTATCATAGATTTGTAACACAACAATGGATATTCGAAGAAATATTGATGAAAATTTAAAAATCAATTTTTCGTAAAGTTGACCGATTAAGTTTGGTTTTTTTAAAATATCTTTTGTCAGACAGATTTAACTAAAAGATTATGCACTAAAATACATAAATACCATAATAATAAATAAAATAAATCTTAAGTATGGCGTTAAATGAAATTAAGGAAATATTTACAAAAAATTGAGTTGAGAAAAAAAAACTCACTCATGGAATCGCCCATTTGTCCTACAAGGTCACATCTAATAGAATTGTATATTGTGCATTAAAATGCTATTCAATGTGCTAATAAAACAGACAAAGAATCTCATCTAGGATGAGATGGAATCTCATTGTTTTTCTCATTTAGACAGTAAATTCAATTACGGACAATTAAAAAGAACACTTCATTTTCCACGTGCATGAACTTGAATCTATTATTTTCCTTGTTCTTTATTTCCAGAGTTGTAGCATAATAAAAAATGCTTTACATAAATTTTCACAGAAAAATAAAAGAGATGAATGAATGTAAATGAGTAAATAATACAAAGAAATGAAAAGCTTAATGGGATAAAGTTGAGAAACTGATGACTAGCATTAATCAAGCTTGATATGTATGTTCAATAGCGATGTAAGAAATTCTTTGGTTGAAGCTTCTTTGGCTTTTCTGGTGTTTTGAAGTCATTGATGAAATCGAGAATCTTTGTACGGTCCGAAATGTCATTGACCCCTATTATTATTAAATCCTCATCAGACAGTGTGAAAAATGCAGCTAAATTGATCTGTAAGGGTTTGATATGAAGTCTTTAAATTGATGTGAAAAATGCCATATAACTTACTTCTTCCTTATAGAAAGTGTCTGAATAGTCTGATAATCCCAAATCTTTCAAAACAGTTTTAACACTCAAGGTTAGATCCATAAGTTGATTATGAGGCTCTTCAGCTGGATAAAATGAGTATGTTCGACGACGAGCTTTAGATTGAGCACTTTCAGTTCGTTCCCTTTATTTTTTATTGAAATTAATGCTCTTAGTAACTCAATTAGACTATATTTATATCTAGATACTCACTTTAATGAGCGCTTCTTTAAGAACGACGATGCAGATCCAGTTGGTTTAATTATAGGACTAATATTTGGTGTATGAAGCTGATTTCGAACAAAAGGTGAGAAATTTCGACTTTGAATTTCTGGCTTTAAGAATTTAAACTGGTCTGATAGATTGAGAACATTTGGTGATGTAAAACTGCTATTCATGGGTGAAACTGCACATAATATATCTTATTTAATGAAAATGAATAAGTTTGTGAATAACCTTAAATACCTTTAACTTTTGAAGCCATTTTTCTCTGTTTTTCTTTGATTCTTGACTATTACGTGAACTTAATTACAATTACGAAGACTTATTTTTATGTTATACAGTCAGAAAGTTTAAAATAACTATGTTTTTTGATAAAATATTAGACGACACGAAATTTCTTTGAACAATAAACTATTGAAAATGGCTACAAAAAACCGTTATAAATTTATTTTATAAATTAAGTTCAAAAGTGTGGGAAGTTTTCAAAAATTTCCGTTAAGATTTTGACATGTAAGTAAAAAGTTTAATTGTACAACATTTAACAGATTCACAAGTGTCAGACATATAAAATATTCATATCTGTAAATGAAATCTATCATGTCGTGCCTGTTTCACATTTCTGCAAATAATCTATCGTTAGTAATTCAACTTTTTAAAGCAATTTCAAGAGCTTGCTAAAAATGGCAGGCATCAAATATGATCAAATACGTTATCAGTGAGAGAGAATCAATTAGGAAGGAACAATTCGATTGCTGCACATATGAAAGATTTCAATTTATTATGTTCCGGCAAAAGGAAATTGACGTTGTAGGTATGTAAAAAGGTTCAACTACATGCTGGCTTGCATGTAAAGCATAGAGATAGACTCAGTCATAGAGCAAGGCACATGCAAACATATTAGTTTCAATATGTTGAGTTCATACGTGCAATTTGCTATAATAATTAAGTTTTGCATAATTTTTATGTTGCTGAATATGGTAATGAAGCCTAACAAAAATAAAGTTATGTACGAAAGTCAACATTTATGTGATGTAGATGGATTATGGAAACAACAAGTTGATGAAAATGTAGGACAAGCGTTATTGCAACAAAATTTAATTATAATGTAGGAAGGACTTTTTTACTAAGTAATCTGTCCAAATGAGATGAAGGAAGCAAGCAAGCACTAAAGGGATGAGTAATTTTAATGGTGGCAATTTGAAAGCTCTCAATTGGATAAACATAATTATTTATGCATGTATAGAATAATAAAGAATCTCTATTACTTTCTGTAATGACTACTCGAAGGATGGAAATGGATAGGATGGATATAAATGTGAGAAATAGAAATGAATAACGATGAAAGGCATTTGCATGGAAATGAGAATGGGAAAAAAATATTTTATTCAGTCTGACTTAGAAGAAGTGTAGCCAGGGAGTAGAGATTTAATAACCCCCCCTCAGAAAATACTGAATATTAGACACCCCCCTCAAAAGAGGCTTAGCTACACCTCTGGTCCAAAAGAACGAGTGAAAAGAGTGAATAAAATGTTTTTCTATTAAAATTCATCGCATGTAAAGCAGCAATTGAATCACTAGGGAGCGCAATGACATGAAAAAAAATGGTCAACATAAAAAGTACCGTTTTCGTTTCGACACTAGCGAATATTCAAAGGATTTTCAGTCACTTTTCTTCTCTTTCCGCTTGCCATGCCATTTTAACCTTCCCAAAAATTAATTTTATTTATTCTTCAAATATGAATTAATTCATGCATTCCGCTTTTTATTCCTTTCGCAAGTATCGTCTTACTCACGACAAAGATACAATGGCAATACAATAGAAATTCATCTAATTCAAAAAGCTTTATTGTAGTTTAATACTTTGCCATTAAAACGACATTTGGAATTTTGTTTCATGCACACTTCCTAATTTTTTTGTTTTTGTTTCTTTTCTTTCTTTTTTTTTCGTGATTTTATGGATGGGGAGAAGCTTTAAAACAATACCAAAGAAAATCAATGTTGTCAGGCGTGTGATGGGTCACGAGAATGAAGACTGAGTCGTTTTGTAACTGACAAATTATTGTTGAAAAATTCATTTGCGAAAAAATTCGAAATTAGTTCGAACATTGAATTGAAAATTTAATTCAATGAATTTTGGAGTCAATTCTTATGTATTTTTGATAAGAATTTCTTTGATGGACAGAGAATTTTTGTTACTACCTTATCATCAGCTTTGTTACGCTGATATTGAGCGATTTATAGACTTTTTCGTTGGTTTTTCATATTCAAAAATTCTATTTGTTTACAAACAATCAAACTCAATTTTTAAAATATTGAAAACCGTTAAAATTTGACGAAGAATTTTTCTACAACCAAACCAATTAATTTGACAATGATTTAGATTTTACTTGAAGCTTATTAACAAAAACAATAAAGTTCAAAGCTTAAATGTTCATCAGAAAAAAGAATCCTTCTAAAAATCGAGAATAAACAATAGAATTTCATAAGACCCCCCACCTCATGCACAGTTGTAAGGTAGCGAAATCAATTTATTTTTGAATCATGGAAAACTTTTTGTTCTTCTCTTTTTATTTTTCCAATCATTAAAATAAACAAAGAACAAGATAGGAAGCACAAACTTTCATTGATGAGCTTTCGTTAAACACACACAACACAGTACAACAGAGTATGCACATAGGAGGGCTCTCTATCAAGACTATATTCTTTTAACGAATATTAATCGATCTGAGGCATAGTAACAGAACTCTATATGGGAATGGAAAGCAACGGAAGAAAATTTGTTGTTTATATTATCGACCAAATAACAAATGAAATCAATATCAAAACAAAAAGAAATGCTATGATGTTATTATAAGGTTGGGTTTGGTGTCAAATGACGGAATAGAATAATTTTGAATCGAGGTGAGTTGAAAGCATCTTAAAACCTATACCAGTCCTAGGTTAACACAAGACTTACTCCAATAATGCAAGCTAGATCTCTTACAAAATTTATAGCTCAATTATCGCTAATATAAGCACTAGTTTATGCCTTAAACATCATTTCCGAACGACCCCATTTATGAGTACGAAGCAAAAATTAGGGGAGAGAGAGTGAGAATGTAAATTGAGTTTGCTTACCTTCAAGACATTTTTCTTTGTATGACGAAAAATTTCCGACATGATGAGAGAAAGATAATTTTTGCACAAAGATGCTTTTTATATCCTTTACTACTTCGTACTTTTTGTTGCTTTATTTTTTCTTTGTTTTTCCGTTGGGTGCACTTCAAGTGAGTGAGAAAAAAAAAGGAGAAAGGAAGATGATGCAAACGTTGTTAAGGGAAATTACAACATGTTCCACGCGAATGTGTAATATAAGAGAGCGTAAATCCTTAATCTTGTAGGCTATGTCCATACACAAATTATATTAATTTTCACCTTTTGTGGTCTCGTCGCACGACTAATTATGTTTAATTGCACAGAAATAAATATAAAGGAATATGTTAAGCCGTTCACAATTTTTTCACATCAATAATCCACACAATGACTATTCCTGGTCATATTCCTTTGTGTTAATCTCCCCTTCACTATTAATATCACTAGTTCTTTTTTTACTTTAAACGTGCCGCTACAGAACGAAAACTCTACACATCTATGCTACATGCCATTTGAAACCGAAATGAAGAGCAAAACAGCTGAGAATAATGTTTGAATGTTTCATGCTTGCTTCCCCTACTGAATTTCATTCATACTTCTCAATGTTGCATGTTTCGTTCTCTCTCTCAATTTTTTTGAGGGCTGTTCACTTTTAAAGAAATTCTCCTCACACAGACACAGCATGAATCAAATCACATTGAAACTTAACATTAAAAATTATTATGAAAAGAGTTCCTTTCTTCTTTCAATTTCCCTGCTTTTTTTCGATTATGATGATCGTTACATTGACAACAAAGAATAGGAACGTATAAATTTTCTATTAACGACGTGTGTCTTGCTGCAAAAAAAGAAACTTAAATTTATTTTGAGTCGCGTGTCGTCGACCGTGGTTCCATAGGAGAAAAGTTGGAAATTATTATTAAAGACGAAATAACACTTTATTGGATGGGATTTATAGTCACTGAAAGATAATTGTAACAAATAATTTCTTAATGGGGTCATTCTTTGGTGATGTCTCAGGATGGATAAACTTTTGATCGTTATTTTTTGATTTGAATAATCTCAATTGTAGATTTTCAAATATTTTTTGACCGTTATTTTTCAAATTCAATTACATTCTTCAATGATTACATTTAAAATTGACTTCAACTCTGAACAAACCCCCATTTGTATTCCTACATTTATTATCCGAATGTCCCACTACTCGACATTTATTCTATCCCAAGAAGATATTAATGATTTTTATATGCATATAATTGTCGAACAAGTACAATTTCACCCCAAATAATGTTGTGAATTATATGTGGAATTAACCATTACAATTCCATATCGAATTTGGGACATTTCTACATTTTAAATGTGATTTTTTTTTTATTTTTTGTGAGAAACATTTTAAATTGAAAAATGAAGATAAGGGGCTGTTCACTTATTACGTAACGCGAAAAAATGACTTCTTAGACCCCCCCCCCCCTCGTAACAAAATTTGTATGAAAAAAAAATTTCCTTGTTTGAACCGTAACAAAATCTTAGACCCCCCTCCCCCCTCCCCCTAAAAGCGTTACGTAATAAGTGAATGGCCCCTAACAAAACTAGAAAAAATTTACACCGATGTCAATCATTTGCTATGTTATGCAAATAATAGGAATAGACATAATGTTGATGATTGGGAAATGGAAATTTCACACCCAGAAAAAAATTTTGAGGACAGAAACATCATGAAGTGCATAAATAATCAAAATTTAAAGTAATGTTGATGAGGAGTTGGGTTTGAACGCATTTAAGCTGTTTTATAATTGAAAATTGTGAATTTTAATAAATTTAAGTTTTTAACGGTTTTGATTGCATTTTGAAATTATAACGATTTTGTAAATTTTGAATCAAAGCCGAGACACATTCTTTGAACATTCAAAATTTACAAAACCGTTAAATTTAAATGTTTTAAATGTTTAAAAACCATTAAAAAGGTCAAAATGCATGCTTACCCGTTTTACTCCTTTACATGCTCTTAAAAAATATACAATAATACTCAAATAAAATAGAAAAACTCAACATTAAGTGTGTGTATGACTCTGAAGAGTTTATTTTGGTCATTTTTCATTTATTTTTTTATGCTTCATTTTAAAGCATACGACATGGACATACACACACTTCATTTTATTGTGCGGTTTTTATTTATCTTCAATTTAAAATTCATCGCTTTAATTAAATAAGATAAAAGTGTGTCAAAAATAAAATAAATGAATTAGGATGAAAAACACATGAATTGGAGATACATAGAAGAACTAAGGGGGTAAAAACCACCTGATGACATACATCATGTCTAAAATAAGAAGATTCAACAATATTTTTCATTAATATTTGATACATTTTGATGAAGTGCATTGTTAAGGAGCACGCGACATACACACTTCGCATATAATCATCATTCGACATGAAAAAAAAACTACTTTTAAGCTGCACAAAAGAGATCAAAAATGTTCTCTGAGTCGTACAAAACGCAAAAATGGCTCATTTCAATTATGATTATGAACATCCATGAGCACAGTAAAATCAATAAATGTCATTGCATTTTAAGAGTCTACAGTTGACAATGGCATACAATATAATAAGAACATCAAGTAGGACGGCGAATGTAAAGATGAGAATTGTTCATACACACTTTGTGGATTAATGTTTATTATTTAGAAGGCACTATGCACTTTCTTTGTTCTTTGTTTCATGTTGCTCGTTTGATAAAGATAAAATGGAATACAATGTCATGTATTTTTTGTAGCATAACTCTTTACTTAATAACGGATTTTTGAAATTTTAAGGAAGCAAATCAATATTGCGCGAAATTTCAAAAAACTCGAACCGTTAAAATTCTATTTGAATTCTTTGTTGATTTATTTGTTAAAATTTTCCTTCCTCAAAATAAAGTCATTTTAGCTAATTTTATCACGTATAATATTTTATTAGTGCTGTAAAAGTGGTGCATGTAATGATTTCTACAGGATATGTGATGTAATTGAAGTGGAAATCATGTATATAAAACAGTTTTGTATTATTTTACTTTTCTTCAGTTTGAAGGTAAAAAAGATTAAGTTTTAGTGCTCAAATTATAAGGTAAATTAAATTAACATGCTTACATGTCACTTGATATCATCCATAGAATTATGCGAAAGAACAGTCAGGAACTGTAGAAGAATATATAAATAAGAAAATTGAGGTTATTAATACAAAGACAACGGAACTAATAGAGCATGGTAAAGACATTAATTCCTATACATCTGTACTTCCCATTGTATTATCAACATTCTATTCTGTAGATGTAATTAAGCTGAAAGAGCCTGCGGCATCTCTAGCATGTGATAATACCAAAGGAGACAAGATCAAGATTATTAAAGACGTCGACGGCTATTTCTTCTTCCTGAGTGTCAATGAATTACTTGCTATAAAGGTGAATGGTGAAAATGTTGCTGAATTATATTTTATTGGAACTCTATTGGATATTGAAGAGAATGATCCAATCATCGATATACAAATGGAAAGATGGAAGAACTTTTACATGATTGTGATCCAGCAATCATCCAAATTAAAGATTTATCTCGTTAAATTTGATATAACCGATAGTCCTGATATCAATCATATACAAAAAATCAACATTGAAACGTTAACTGATAAGTTTAAGGTATTCAGGAAAGGAAATGATGTGCATATGGTGATTTATCATATAAATGAAAATACAGAGAATGAATTGATGTAAGTTCTACGTTTTCCTTACTTTATCAGAGCTAATCTCATTCTAATCTTCTGTAGATTTTATACGTGGCACAATTCGTACTTCTCGAAGGAATCAACAGAACAAGCAGAACTGCCAAATAAGAGCGACTTATTTGTATTCAATGAGAGTGTGAATGAGACATTAATATTGTCAATAGGCTATGGATTGGGAAATCAATCAACACAAGTGGTAACTTTTCGACACGACAAACAATCAAATCGCTGGAAGAAGCTCCAAAAGATGCATTTCAAGAACGACTATATCGAGCACTTTTCCATTCATGAGAAGCTTTATATTATTGGATGTTCCACAGATTGTGAGTTCTTCCTTTTGTTTGTTCATTTATTTTCATGTCATAACATAAATTAAACTTCTTTATATACTATAGCATTCTGTGCAATCTACAAATGGAGTGGGTCAAATTTTCTACGGCATCAGAAAATATCGAGTAGTGTCTTTGAGATAATAAAGACCATTTATTCACGACACAACATCATCATAATTGAAAACTTTCAGAATAAGCTCTCATTGTATTCTCGTAGTGACATAATCGGTATTAAAGCAGGATTAGTTCGCTCTAAATCCAATGACATTTCGGAATATACAGTTTACAAGTCAAGAGAAGGACACTTGTATTACGTTGAAATAGCTAAAAATGAAACATCAATGCGTGCAAGTTTCTATGAAATGTCAATAACTGAGGTGGCTCATGTGAAAGGAACCAGATCTGACGCAAAAGACATTGATCCCATAGAATGTGTAATGCAGTTAAAGGCTTCAATGAAAAATCGCGTAGGAGGCATCAAATCGTCTGAACGCAATGTGAGTAACGTAATATTGTAAATGTGGATAGATCGGCAATTTTTTCTTCCCGTTAATTTTTGAATTTTTTTTTCTCAAATTTTTTTGAACCGTTATTTTTCAACATTATTATTACCGCTATTTTTCAAATGTCTATTTTCAGGCTAAAAGTTTAATAGAGAATCCTGGGAAATTGAACATCAACAATAAGAAATTCATTAACGCAAGATATGTAAATCTCAAAGATGCAGTTGTTGGTTCCTTGAAAATGCCATATAATGTGAGCGTAGTCACAAAAGACTTGATGGAAAATATTGTGACTTCAAATGTGCAGCTTGAGAAAATCAGACAAAGCTTAAGAGACGGATCTGCATGGAAACAATATGAACGAGCGCGAGAAAATATTGAGAATGAGTTTGGAAACATTAATGTCAATAATCTGGTTTATAATGGCAATCAACTGATATTCAAAGGTATGGATTATTTTTGAGATTTAAATTAAATCGTTAGATTAAAATAAATCCTTATTTTATCTTTAAATCATTCTTTTCAGGAATGGTGAGCAAGTCTCAACCGGTAATAACATTCACAGATCAAGTTAAGTTGAGCAACATTAGTGCTAATAAGCTTGATATAAAATCAAATAAAATCAACCTTATTCCATTGAATAAATTATTGAATGCGACAATAACAAAGTCTGTAAAAGGAACAAAGAATCTACAGACATTAAGAATTGATGAAACACAAATAACTGAAATGATGAATAATGTGCCATTAACGTTCCTAAACTCTACGGAAAATAAATTGAAACAATCAAGGAAAATCAACTTTAATGGAGACATCAATGTAGAACATTTGAAAGTTAAAACACTGAATAGATTTGATGTCACAAAATTGATGAATGATTTGTATCTGAAGGATAATAAGACTAAGATCCAAGGCGATTTATTTGTAAGAAGTTCCTTTAATGTTGAAAATTTATTTGCAAATCGCATAAAGTCAATTCCAGTCAATAATTTCATGACGACATCTACAGACCAAGAAATTCAGTCAGATACTTTAATATCCAAGTTCCATGCAAGTGTTATTAATGCAAATGCTGTCAATGCTGAAGATACCTCGAATTTTGCTCTAATTAATGCCCAAAATTTAATTGAAATTCCAACAAAATTCATGTTTTTGAATGTCAAAGAGAATCTGAACATTAAGGACGGCGATGTTGATGTTAAAGAAATTCAGAACTTTATTCATTTAATTAAAAGACATGTCATTGGAACTGATTCATCAGATTTAGCTCAAATTTATAATGGAAAAGTTCTCATTCAAGGATCATTGACATTAAGTAACATGGATATATTCTCACCGAAAACAAGGATTATTGTGAATGATATGGTAGTTCCTCTAAACATTACTGATAATTATTGGACGAAAAGTACGAAGCAGGAGATTTATGTTGACAACTTTATTATTTCAAATAATGCAGTTATGAATGGAATCATCACAAAAAGCTTAAATAATCATCCAGTAAACAATTATCTTCGTATAGACAACAATGTGTTCCAAGGAGAAGTTCAGTTACGTTTTGAAAATGTAATTATAGATGGCGAAGTTAAAGGACATCCAAAAAATTACCCATCTTTATTGCTTCAACTAAGTCAGAATGTAATTCCACTTTATGGACCTCCGATTAGTGTATCAAGTCCAGTAGAATTCCGAAATAAGTTGACTGTTAAGAAATTATACACAGGTTCTATTAATGGCATATCTGCTGATTCTTTGGTTCACAAACATCTTCAATTGATTCTATTTGAAGCACCAAAAGTTGTTGAGAATTTAAATGTCAATAATCTTATCGTCGATAATAGCATATCCATCACAAATTACAATAATGTAAATGTACCAAAATTCTTAAATGACGCAATACGTATAGACATGCCAATACTCCTTGATTCTTTAAAAATGAAGTCATTCAATGCTTACAACTTGACTGTGGATGATTTAGAGCAACATAATCTCAATATAATGATAAAGAATCTCGTTGAGGAACTAGATTTTAGCAAGGAATCAAGTAAAGGAAAGAGAAGCATTAGAATTCATGGAGATGCAACATTTAATGCTAATATCTTTATTGACCTGCTTAACACCAAAATGGATTTCAATGAATTTGTTAATTTGCTAGCTTTAAACATTAATGAACCACAAGAAATTGGAGGAAAGAAAATTTTCCAAAAAGGATTAATAATAACTGATAATTTAGACACGAAAAGTATTAATGGATTCTCAACAGATCGTTTGCTACACTCATCGTTATGTCGAGGTGATAAGCAGACAATTAAAGGACAAATCTTTGTAAAAACCTTAAAAGTAAATGAACTGCACACAAATAAGTTGAATGAAATTTTATGGAATCAATTGATTAATAAGGAGGAGCTGCATTTGCCATTAAAGATAAATATTGATTTGGATGAGATTGAGACTGAGGATTTATACACAAATTCAACAATAACAGATTTTGGTAGAATGCTGAAAATTATTCAATTTCCACCAAGAAAGAATTGGAATTCAATAACTGCCTTAAAAGGCTCTGATATACTTTTTGGAACTGACACTTATTTAGATCGATTGATAAGTGATGGTGTTGTTAAAAGTGTTCCGCAAGAAATATTAGCACAAGTTGAAATTGAGAGTAAGTTCTATATGAGAAATGTCATGAAAAGGGATTATTTCATAAATACAAGAACATCAGTGATTGATATTAAATACCTTAACGAAGACTCTGTCAAAGACAATTCATCGAACGAAATAATTCGTGGAAGGAAGACTGTAGCTAGAGGCTATAGGTAATTAGCTTTTTAACGACTTTTAAAAATTTAAATCCTGCAAAACCGATAAAAAAGTTTGAATTTTACAAAACGGCTAAAATATTTGAATCTTACAAATCCGTTAAATTGAAAATTTAATTTATTCGTTACTTTTCCAGGTTTGATGCAAACAATATGATAATTGGTCATCAGTGCAACTTCTATTCAACCTATATCAATAACGTGAACGTAATGGAATTAAATAAAACAATTTGTCGACGCAGTGAAAGCTTAAATTCCCACAAGAGATTTGCTAATTTAGAAGTGGATGAATTATACATGCAAAGTGGATTATTGAATGGCGTGGCACTTTTGAGTATTTTTCAAATTACCCACGACAATATTAGATTGCCAGAAATAAATTTCCAATACTTAGAAGTGGATAATTTGAAGACATTTTCATTCAACACTTATTCGTTATTGCTTTTCCTCGAAACTAGATTAAGGAAGTATGGTTCAAAATCTCAAAGCATTAGAAGCTACCTTACTATAAATTCAGTCCAATTTGATAATGATACAAGTATAATGGCAATTAATAATGTCAATTTAGATGATGCAGTTTATCTTCAATCCGATCAATTACAAATTATTGATGGCCATAAGATTGTTACTGGAAGTGTCAAAATCATAGGACCAGCACATATTGGAACAATAAATAATATTGACATAGTCGAATTTCATCGAAATACAGTTGATATCTATCAAGATTATCGATCGAATGTCCCACTTAAATTATCACAAGTTGAGCTTAAGAATGGAATGCATATTACAAAGAATATAAATGATCGGAATATTGATGAATTGCTATCCTCAAATGCTCATAGTCCAAAACTTAATGACCTTATGACATTGATTGCAAATGTTACTAAACAAATCACAGCTATAGATCATGAAAAGTCATCAAAAAGGAAAAGGAAGAGGATGCTGTACATTGATGTCGATGAAAATATTGATTTTCAATTTAAAACACCTAGAAGTAATGATGGAAATGAGTGTTCTATACGAAATGAGATAGATTTTAAGCCTTATTCTAAAGGAGTTATAATAACACAAAAGTCAGATCTGGAAATGTCTGTGGATTTGCCGTCCGTCAAGTTCAAATTAAATCCAAATTTTGATTGTGATGAAAGTGATGTGAACAGTCGAAAAATTGATTTATGGTGGAATTATCCAAATGATAAGGAACGAGCTGAAAATACATTCTTTAGGAATTTCACATTTGAGAAGAATGTGACGGACGTAAAGTTTATGGAATCGGCTGATAATAAATTTATATTGATTGCTGTGGCTCTTCAAAATGTTGGAACCTCTGAAATTCTATTTTTAAGACTTGATAAAGCTACAGATGAATTGATTCCACATGCACCGACAATTGTTGGCTTTTATGAGACATCTAAAATAGCAATAATTGAATCGAGCAATAAAATCCATTATCTAGTCGTGTCATCGTTCCAAAAGGAAACAGAAAATGATAAAGTTTTCATCTACAGATTTGACTCGACTCAAGGTCAATTTGTTCAGTCACAAAAGCCATTTTCTGGCAGTAACTTTGATATAATTCTTGGAATTAATGTAAAAACTTTGACTGGATTTAGAGGACGAACTTTCATCCTTTTTGCTAAAACTAATGGAAAGCAAGTCCGAATATATCAAAGGAAGGACGAAACTGATGAATTTATATTCCATAAAATGATTGATGACTTTAAAGATAGTATTGTGGAAGTTCTAGTGCTTTATATTAATGAGAAACCTTTCATCATTGTCAGTCAAAAGTCAGGCTTATTCTGTCTATACGAATGGCGTGGAATTGAAAGTTGGAAGAGTAAATCTTGTGGACGATTCGAAAATATCCATCAAATGAAATCTTTTGAGTATCTCAATAGACAGCATCTATTTTTGGCATCGATTGTACAAAATTCTACACCTTCAATTAATGCATTAACTATTTATAGTCAAGGAAATTAATGTCATACGTCGTTATTTAGCATAAATGTCTGCTAAAGTTTTGTATTTAAAAAATATTATTATTATTATCGTAGTAAGTTTGTGAAAATAAAGTTGAAAATTGAGAAATAATTTTCGAATATTTAAGAAGTAAAGTGTGTTTTGGTGATTTTGTGCTTCTTAAAATAACGAATTTCACAAATTCGTAACCATATTCTTGGTATAATTTTCAAATTTTTAAAACTGTTAACTTAATTCTGCAGGTAACGGTTCTTAAAACTTTGAAAATAACCCAAAGAAAAAATGAGGTTTCGAATTTTTGAAATTCGGTTTTTTAAGTCACTCGATTTTGTTGTTTTGGAAAGTGTGAAAACTGTGGATTTAACATTGGAATTTGATTGATCAATCCTTGGATTAAGGTAAGAACAAGTAAAAATTAATTTATTTTAATTATTCGGGGAAAAATTCTTGCAACATTTGTTTGTTCCATTTTTTATTAAAATGTCTAATAAGGAAGTAATTCTTCTGGGTACTTTTTTTGGATATCTTTTGTTCCTGTTGTTAATACAAAAACTTCATTTTACAATCATTCTTAATATGTTTTTTCAATGTGTATAAAAATACCTTACTGATTCTCATCTCAACATTTTCATCATGCATACATAGACATGAATCAACATAATCGTCATGTTTTATAGTCTTCTAAAGTGCAATCATTTCAAATTTACAAGTCTTTGTGATTATTACTTTTTTTCTTGCTTTATTTTTTAAATAAAAACATTTCTCTGAGAGAATGACGTCATTAAGGGGGGTAAAAAGTTGTATTAGTTTCTAATCATTATATGCTTAGGTTCCGTCAGAAAAAAAGAAGAACATATACGAGGATATAGAGAAGAATAAATACGAGAGTCGTTAGAAAAATGAAACAATTTTTCATTAATTAAAAAATATCGAGGAAAAAAGTATTTTGCTAACTTAAAAGCGCTTTTGATTAAAAATATCAGAAAAAATGGCAAAAATATGTTTTAAAAGCCATTAATGCACCAAAGATTATTAAAATTCTTCAATCTTTTGCTTTCGCTTTTGTTGCTTCGCTTCAATAGCTTCGATAATTGGCTTTCGCTTGGCCTTATAACGTTTCTTCGTCTCCTCAAACTCTTTATCCATTTCCTTATCAAGGCTTGCTAGTCTTTGTTCCAGTTCCTCGTAACTTAAAAACTTTAACTGAAAATTGTCATGCAAGAATGTCATTGAATTAGTCATTTTCATTGAATTTGGGTCGATCAAATATTACGAAAAATAACTGCCAAAAAATATTTAAAGCTTTGACTGTCAAAAAATATTTGAATTTTATGCTGTTAATGATTCTGTAACTGTTGAACGACCCCAACATAATATGTATCGACTTACAAACTCATAATCACTATCCATCGCATTCATTCTTTGATATTTCAACAAATTATCAGCTTGAATTTGTTGTTGTTGAAATTGATGCTGTAAATTTTCACTAAGCTCTGAAGGAATAGGCGCTGTAGCAATCGGAATTTGAGCATGAGAATTTATTATTTGTTGTTGATATATTTGTTGATGATCAATTTCTGGGTTCGTTGGGAGAACAACCATCATTTGTTCTTGAATTTGTTGTGGAGTGTTTTTGGCTGGGACTTGCATTTTGGGTACTTCGTGATTATTTACGTCTTCTTTAATAAAATTGCTAGTACATAACAAATTTCCTTCGGCTTCCTTCTTGTCAAAATGATCTAAAAACAATGGACGATATTTTGGTTTGTCTGGATTTGTGTCGTGTCGCTTCATTGTAGATTCTTCGGAATCGGAATTAATAACCATAGTTCCTAAATTAGATTGCAATTCAATCATAGTTCCATTATCAGGTATTAAAGTTCCACAGTCAGTATGAGCGATCATTGTTAATTCATCGTCTTTAGATGGAACTAATGTTCCACAATCAGGAAATTCTTTCATTGTTCCTGAATTGTCTTCGTCGGAATCATCATTATGACTTTGTTGTAATTGCTTATTAGCTTGTTGAATCGCCGCTGCACGTGTATAACTTTGATTCTCACGTATTTCTTTGGCTTCTGCAATCATTAGACTTAGAATACTGTTTGGTTTTGCATTACGAATAAATTCATGCTGAAGTAAATCGGTTGCAGTCGCACGTTCTTCAGGATTTTTGACTAAACATAGACTAACGAAATCAATGAATTCTGATGACCAACGATCAGGTTCACGAAAAGATGGTGGTGGTTTTGTTGGAATCATAAAAATTGCTCTCATTGGATGTATTTCTCCGTACGGAGGCTTCCCTTCTGCCATTTCGAGTGCTGTTATTCCCAAAGACCATATATCTGCGACACAATCATATCCAATCTCCTCAATCACTTCTGGAGCCATCCTAATGAATAATTAATATGTTAAATACAGCTTATTGTTATAATTAATTGATTTATTACCAAAACGGTGTTCCTATAACTGTATTTCTTTTTGCCATTGTGTCTGTTAATTGTCCAGCAACACCGAAATCAGCTAGCTTTGCGTGACCTTCAGAATTTAATAGAATATTACCCGCCTTAATGTCTCGATGTATTTTCCTACGAAGATGTAAATATTCTAATCCTTTCAACGTATCACTCAGTATTGTCGCAATTTCATCTTCTGTTAAGGTTTTCTTTCGTAATCTCATAATGTCACTCACAGAACCAGCTCCACAATATTCCATAACAATCTAAAACATGTAAATTTGTTAAGAGCATTCATTCATGAATTAGAGTAAGAGTTTTAAACTTACCCACAAGTCCGTATTTTTAAAATAACTTCCATAATATTTAACTACGTATGGCGAATCGCATTGCTGCATAATCGAGATTTCTTTGATTATTTCCTGCAAGTCTGTATCTACTGGAACTTGCTTAATGGCTAGAATCTAAAGAGACATCGAATTATCCAGCATAAAGTTTAAGCTGATTTGACTTATTTCTTACTTGATCACTTTCTTTGTGTAAGGCTTTGTAGACTGATCCATAACTTCCCTCTCCAAGCTTGCAAATAATATCAAAAACTTCTTCCGGTTGTCTCGTTAGACTTTCCTCTGATAATTTTTTTAGTGATCTGAAATTCATCATCAAATATCAATCGTACTGTCTGTATGATAATAATACATAAATAAATAGCTTAAACGTGATATTACTCTATAAATAAATGATAATCCCGTTAAAGGAGAACGAAAGAACCTTGAAATTACTCATTTCAATATTCCTTCTTTTATAAATTTCATAAATTTTCGTACCTTTTATTGTTATTGTTTGACATTTTTCACAAATAAACTAATTTACAACGGAAAATACATCAAAACTTGAACTAAATTATATTGCTTTGTCCTTCTATTATAATGTTATGTTAATTAACAGGCAAATTATGTCCTTTTATCAGTTAAAATCAATTAAATTGCAGATAAAAAATTAATTCTGAGTAAGTTGAGATGTATTACAAAGCACTTTTCATAGTCGCAGCGCGCCTTACACTTTGTGAATCTTCTTTGTATTTATGTTTGGGTCGTGAAAACAGTTTTTAATAAATTATTTGGCATTGTCAAGACATTGAATTGTTGTCAGTTGAATTTAATGTCTATTGAACAAAGAACTAGCTTGAATTTAACCATAGCAAAGGCAGTCTATGATCCTCATGATCCAAAAATTATAAAAGATCTTTAAAAATTGTGAAATCCAGGAAACTGACAAATAATCATGTACAAGAATTTGATTAAATATGATCAAAACAGAACATCCATGAGACTTTTGACGGTCCGGTGTGAATATGTGCATAAGATCATTGAGGCTTAATATAAGTTTTAATTTTCAAATAACCGTTTGAAGCAGACGAATCATCTGCATGACTGTTTCAGTGCTACTCATCCTTTTTACGTACACATCTTTCGGGAATGTAATCAAAGCTGGAATTTATTTTGCATATATGTTTTATTGTAAAAATTGATTAGATTGGAATCATTATTCAAGCGATATAAAATTGGTGAAGCAGATCTTGATTTCTGAGAAAATTATAAACATTAAAATTTCTCAAATTTTCCTAAAATCAGAATTTGACAACCAAAATAATATTCTTAATTTTCATTGACTTTCGATTTATTTACAATTTTCTTCAGTTTTTCTTTGAACGTCGAAGAGACAAGACGTATTTTTTTTTTTGAAATATTTTTGAAATGTCAAATTAGTTGAAACTTGACACCAGTGGTGATAAAATGTACTGGAATTGAAGATAAAAAAAAAATTAAAAAAACAAATTTAATTGAATATGAAATTGATGAAGCTTAAAAGAACCAGGAAACAATTTAACGTAAAAATGAGTCTCCAAATATTTGGCTTTCAATCAATAGAAGCTTAATCACAATCAGAAGTTTAGAGTCACTGTGTTTCTATTTCATGCTCAGGTGTTTGGTAAAGGGCTTTTTTGCGTTAAATTTACAAAAAGAAAGAGCTGACGGGACCTTATGTAGCTTCGTTTTCCTTACACAGTAAGTAGCATACTTAAAAATTTGTTTAAGGTTTATAAAATAAAGGTTAAATCAGGGCGATTCTCTGTAGGGTAAATTGGAAAATTTTTGACTTCAAATGAAAAATTGTCTAATTTTCAACATGCTACGGACATTTCAGTGTCGAATTTTTTCGACATGTTTAAATTTAGTGGACCTAGCGTTTAAATATTTTAAAACCGTTAAAAATCTGTCAATTTTAAGATTTTAAGCATTAATATTTAAATTTCTGTATTTTTCTGGGATGATTTTAGCTAAACTTAGATAAACACGAAGCTGAGAATAAGAATCGTTTGCCCAAGCCTTGTTTTTGCCAGTGATTGCAAGAAATTTTCATGAAAATTTAACGGTTTTTTGAAATTCAAAGCAAAAAATAACGGATTTTTCGAAGTGTCCGTAGCATGGTTTTCAATAGCAAATATCTCGCTTTGGGCACATTTGGCATATTTGAAAAGTTCATAAAAATTAATCATGAATATTCGCCCAAATAATAGGTTTTCCTTTGGTTTCTTCACACAAACACAAAGTACTAAGCTTAATTAAGCTGGTTATCAGCATTAAAAGAAGAAATTAGAAGTAGAAAGGAGAAAAATATTTGTTGTCATTTTGTAAATGACAATTAGTCATCTTAGAATCGAATTTTTGGAAGTTAGACAACATATTAGAATGATATATTTTTACAGAACATAAAACAATTCATGTTCTTTAATCTAGCATTTAAAACATATAGTTTAATTAACTTGTTATTTTTGAATTTATGAACATTTTTTTCAAATCTGAATCATTGTGCTCCAGTAAAATAGCTTAATTATTGAGATAAATCGATTCTCCGAACGTCAACTTTATGTCACAAAGCAACGCAAGAGCTTAAATTTTCCAAATCCGTTAAAAAACTACAAAATGTATTGATCGAAAATACTTTAATTCTGAACTTTCAAGCTACACTTTTGACAAATTTCATCATTTATAATTAAAGTAAATTATTATTGATGGTTGTAAACCAATCTAAAATTTCAAATCATTCTACATTGAAAGAAATTACAGAATGCTTCTGTTGCATAGGCTGGACTGAACTGTTCTGATAATTTTATCAGAATTCTGTTATTTATCGGAATTGTTCTGTTAATATTATCAGAATTCCGATAAATATCGAAAAAGTTCTGTTAAAAAGTTCAGTTAATAAAATTGCGATTCGCAATTATTTTTCAGAACTGTTCTGTTATTTATCAGAATTCTGTTAATTTTTTTTTCATATTTAATAAATTATTTTAAATAATAATAAAAAGAAGTTAAATCATAAGTCTAAACGTCATTTTCAAATATAACTTCCTGTATAACTCAAAAAAAAAAACACTTGAGGTTTATAAGTCCTGACACAAACTGGAGTTGGACTTAAAAACCTCACATGTAGATCACTATTCCGGAAATTTATAAATATTTATAAATAAACTCACAGTGTAATTATGAGTAGTCTCATTTTTCTGGTTGTCAAACCCAAATCCTAAAACGTATCCCAAATGATTGAAAAATTTCTGAGCTATTCAAACCAGAAATAAATCAAATGATTCATAAATATTGTATAGCCCAAGACGCTTCAAATGAGCGGTTTATTTTAATATAAAAGATACTCTAGAGTAAATCTGCAAAATTATGAAACTGGCAAAAAGCGAGTTGTAATATTTCTCTACTTGGAAAAATTTGAAAAATAAAAACTCGTTACAATTTTTGAACAAAAATAAACATTATTTTTAAGTCACTGCATAATTTAGATATTTCAACTGATTATGATCTTACCGTTTTATAACTTTTGAAAATTTATCGTGTGTTACGAAAAAATACTCTAAACTGATGTTTTGCAACAAAGTGTTCTTGCAGGAGAGATTGACGCTTTTTCTTTAATTTCTCTTAATTAAGTGACTTTTTTTAACACCTGATAAAAGAATGTGGTAGAAAATTAAATTTGAAATGCTATAAAACAAGTCTGGTGCTGTCTAGATTTATAATTAAGAAAATTTTTGCTTTTTTTGAAAATAAATTTCGATTGCAGGAGAGATTGACGCCAGAAAAATCCAAAGTTATCAAAAGTTGTACATTTGTCGGAAATACGCATGTTTTGGTATTAAAATATCACTTAAATAGCCAAATAGAAGAGAAATTTGAGAAAAACAAAAATTTGGAGCTTTTTATTGTCCGCGGATTTGCCCTATATTAAAAAATTTTAACAATTTTATGACCCAAATACTTAAACCTTGACCCAAATAGTAAATATTCTAAGAAATGAAAATCAGTTGTTTGAACAAATAAATTAGAAAATCCTAGATTTCCTTTAAAAGCTAAAACGTAATAAGTGAATGACCCTTATCTGATAAAAGATTTTAGATCCTGAAGTTGTTTTCTCCCGTTTTTTATGCTGCTAGTTTGAACTCTAGTGCTTGGAATGAAATCTTGGATTAATAATGTCTTCAGAAGTTTAGCCAGAAATTTTTCGAAAAAAAAGGATTTTGCCCCAAAAACCCGCGTTGACTACGCCACTGAATGTCTTTAACAAAGTGCTGAAGGTTAGTGTTTAAGAATGATGTTCATGATGTAATTATTAAAAAGGTCAAAAATCTACGCGTAGCTTTCATGTAAAGGTGATGATCAGCACCTGTCTTGAAAAAAAGTGAAACCTAGCGTAGACAAGTTGAAATTGCATGACTTGCCTTGGTCATGGGCAAGACTATGCTTGAAGGCACCTTCTTTATCAACACTGGCTTTTATGACCTTTGATAATAATATAATAAAAGTGAAGATAATTAACAGTAGAATTCCGATATTATCAGAACTGTTCTGATATTACGATGCTGAATATTCTGATGTTTTTATCTGAACAGTTCTGTAAACAAAAATTTTAAAATGCGAATCGCAAAAATAAAATAACAGAAGAGTTCTGTAAAATATTCTGTTAATTTAACAGAACTTATCGGAATAGTTCTGAAAAATTCTGTTAAATTAACAGAACAAATCCAAAAAAATTATCAGAATAGTTCTGTTAAATTTAACAGAACAGTTCAGTCCAGCCTATGCAACACACCCTTACAGAATATATATTTATGAAGTGAGCATAATTGACAAAGGATTATAAAAGCTCATTTTGAAAAATTCCACCGTTCTGGAGAATCGCCCACCAGTTATAGGGATGTCGAAAGCTTCCTAAGTTTCTTCATATGTTAAAATTTTCTTAACGATTGATTAAATCAACTTTTATACAAATCACCGCTACAGATGTAAAATGATTATTATATTTAACATTTGAAATGTTCCTTTTAATGTTCACAACTTAATCAAATATAACACTCGAGTGTTATAGTTTTACACTGCATTTTACTAAGCTTTTATCAAGATATTTTGCTATAAAACAGTTTTCTATAAGAATCTTATTAAAAGCTCATAGATGCAGCATTAAAACATATTTATTCAAGATTTAACACAATATCATAAAAAAATCTAATAAAAGTCAGTACAATGAACAATATTCCATTCATAAATCATAAAAAAGAGAGCAGGCATGACATTAAAATAAAGATTTTATAGGAAGATCAGGTAAAGATATGTAGAAAGCATGAAAACAATGTCGGAGCTTATAGTAAAAACAGAGACGTTGTTAATAACAACTTGTGTGTATAGCATGAATTACACAACAATATATGCTACGCCCTTGCCTTTCTCTCATTCTTTTTTTGAATGAATTCCGACAGTGATCAACTTGTTTAGTTTAGAGATGACTGCAAAAGTGGAAAGATCACTTGCTCATAACTCTTTTCTTAATTTTTTTTAATTAATAAATAATTTTTTTAATAGTTTTTAAAATAACAAGAAATTAAATTCATATTTTAGTGAATTTTGTGCCTTTTCGTATCAAAAAGAGATAAAATCGCGATTCATAAAAAAGTAAATAAAATAAAATAAAATGTTAAAAAGATAATAAAAGGAACCTTAAAGTGCAATTATTTTTCATAGTAAAGAAAAGTTGATATTTATGAATATTTTGTAATATACAAAGATATTGTGGAAAGAAAAAAGTTTTAATTTGTGAAAAAAGAGTTTATTAATTAAACTACATAAAAAATCAAATATAAATTTTTTTTAAAAACGCGAGAGTGTATAGGTTCATACAGTACATATATTAAATTTTTATATATTTCTTTAACAAAAAAAAAAGAAGAGAAAAAATAACACATAAGAAAGTGTATAGGAATTAATAAATGAATAAATGAATACACTTGAAAGCTAAAAAAAATTATACACACCAAACCAGTCTTCTTTATATGTTTCTCGCTTTAGAAGAAAAAAAGGCTACGAATGAGAAAAAAATTAAGAAGTTAAGTTTAAAAAAAGATCGAATAATAAGAAAAAAAGAGAAGGAGAAAAAAAAATAAGATATATAAGAAGAGAATAACGAGAGAAGACAAGATACAAGAAAGAAATTAAGGAAAAAAAGAAGAAGAATCATCATTATAATATAAAAAAAAAACTATATATAAGAAATAGAAGAGAAGAGACAGTATAATAATAATAAGAAGATAAAAATGGCCTTTAACAATACGAGCAGTGCTCAGTCACAACAAACAAATCAGCTACAGCAAGGTGCCAATGATGATGATGCATTACAGCAACAGCAGAAGAAAAATAATCTCATTATATTGGTTGATAAAGATTCAAATGACAAATTGGATGAATTGTTTGAGAAGACTTTAAACAATACAACGTCTCTTCATAAGCCATATAAGATGCGAAAGCTTCCTGCATCGTTCTTTAAGCCTCCATCGTCTGGTTCGAAATCGCCTTCAGTTTCACATTCACGTGAGAACTCGGCAGATTCAGCATTTGGATCTGGTACGACAATATTGGGTGGCAATAATGGTTCTGGAAACCAAAGCAATAATTCTGCTCATCAAACGACAATAGTTCCCGCTTCAGCCATCTCAAATGGCCTTGCAATTCATCATTCACGTGCACACAGCAGTCCCGCTAGTTTGGGAAAATTGCCGTTGAATATTAATATAAATTTGAGTGCCTTAAATCTTGGAACAGTGACGCCAACAAACAGTAGCCCCAGTCCAAATCATTCATCAACAAATATCAGTAACAATAACAATTCCAATAAGACGACACTTGCAAGTGCTGTAAACAGCAACTCGAACGTTGCCACAAATAATATTCTAAATAGCACAGCTTCTAATAATCAAAGTAGCACTAATAATAATTTACCACACAATATCTTGGATAAAACATTACACTTGCACAGTCGCGGACGTAGCTACGATGTATCGAATTTGCAACATCAATTGCAATTTAGTGAATTGCCACCAGGCTGGGAGCAAGCTAAAACACATGACGGAAAGATTTACTACATTAAGTGAGTAATATTTATTTACTGTTTCGTCTCATCTTGACCATTGGGCACTTCCAATTCATATTTTACTCTTCTCCTACTTTGACAAATTTTTTAAAAATAACTTTTTCCGTGTTGAAGAAAAAAAAATAGAGAATATTTTTATTTTATTGCCATAAATAACTTGATCGACATCTCGTCATTTTCTTTAATTTATTTTCCTTCTGTTTTTTTTTTTTTGAATGAATGCTCATACATTTATTTGTGTATATCATTCACAAGTAAAGTCACAGTACTCATAGCACATGATGTCATCATAATTTAAAAGAGTATTCTGACTAATTCCGTTATCACTCGAAAGTTTTTCATGCTTTTTTTTCTTCTCTCTTCTTTTTCTCCTTACGCGTGTATCTTTTTGAAGTGTTCGGAATGTTTTATTTTCCGCAGTACTTCTGGATAGGAATCTTATCAACTTTGAGAGCATAGATTCTTCTAGTCTATTCTACATATGTGCTTGATATCTGAGCAATCCAGAATCCTAGTTGTTGAGTCAGTTCCTCCAAAGAATATTGCATTTTCAAACCAAACAAAGCTAATATGAGACTTTTGAACAATATATGCCGTGCGTCGCAATTAAAGAAGAAAAAAAAAATCTGTAAGGCAATACATGAGAAGAAAAAAATAGTCAGTATATGACTAATTATGGCACACTTCTGATTCTCGTAAATCGATTTTATTGAGAAGCTTGAGAAAGCCAGCAGCACAGAACAAAAAAAAAGAAAAACTTTTTCCCTCGCGTATTTACTGAAATAGTAAGGAAAAAAAATCGTCTTTTAAATAAAGCGAGCATTGAATTTGAGAAACAGTAAAAAAGAGGAAAAACACTTCTAAAAATAATATTTTGTTTAAAACGCATTTGTACTCCGACGACGACTATAGGCCGCAGTAGCACACATATGTTTTTTGCGCTCGTCTCTGTCTGCCTCAATCGAAAAAAAAGAGAAGGAAAGAAAAAGAGTTTTCATTTTTTTATATACTTGTGATATACACATATTTACAGAAAAAGAAAAAAAAACTTTTATGTGCTATCGTTGTGCGAATAAGCATCATTTAATGTGTGAAAATTCTCAACATCATTTCATCTTTCTCTGTTTTGATTGTTAGGTACTACTTTACTGAGATTTTTACTAGCTTTTCCTCAGAAAAGGGGGTTACATATTTAAATAATTTTTTTGTTTAAGGATTATTTCATTAAAAGTTGTGGTTCCTACAGTAAAAAATTCAATTAAACCAGAGTTGTCAGATAGGTACCTTTGAAAAGGTTCCTCAACGGAGCATGGTAGCTTTTGCCTTTGTCTAGTCAACACCTAGGTATAGGCAAGCCTAGCTAAAGGCAAAAAAGTGTGTCTAGTCAAAGGCAATACCTAGCTAAAGACAGTGCCTTTGTAAGATTAAATCTACTATAGAAATTGCCTTTTACCTTTAGTCTTACTCGTTGAGTTTTTGAACAATAATGCAAAATTTCTTTTGTTTGAACCATTGAAAAACTATAGACTCCCTCCAAATGACTGAAACGCCGAATTTTGATTTATCCAAGGCGACAAAATTTTTGATAACGACAAATTAAATTTTTTAAATTTTCGACGTAGCAAATTATTTGTTTAAAAGAAGGTATGATTCACTATTATGCTCAAATAAATTCAAATTAAGAAAAGAAGATGTTTTAAATTTAAAAAAAAGACTCAACGAGTAAGAATAAAGGTAAAAGGCAATTTCTATAGTAGATTTAATCTTACAAAGGCAGTGCCTTTGGCTAGGTATTGCCTTTGGCTAGGTATTGCCTTTGACTAGGCACACTTTTTTGCCTTTGACTAGGCACACTTTTTTGCTTTTGGCTAGGCACACCTATTTCTAGGTAATGCCTTTGGCTAGGTATTGCCTTTGACTAGGCATGTCTAGGCAAAGGCAAAAATTTCTGCCTATACAAAGGTAATGCCTGGGATAGATTTTTGCCTTTGATAGGAATTCGATAGGTGACAACTCTGAATTAAACTATTGAATTCGGCGAATTCAGCTACTACTCAGCAAAATTAGCTTTTATTCAGCGAACTCAACTACTATTTAGAAAATTCAGCAGACTTTCATTGAGTTTGAGGAACTATTCAGGAAAATCAATTTTGATCAAATCAGGCGTCATTTCAATCATTTTTAATCTATTTACCCTCTTGATTTCCCGACAAAGTCTCGTTTTATTATCTTAATTGCTCTAATCATCGGTCACTGATCACTTATTTTGTTCTCACACTTACCACATCTATCAGATCGCTGTATGTAATTTAGATGTGACTTAATAATCAATTAATTTAAGGGTTATATCATTTGCCCTCATATCAATAGGAAAATTAATGTAGTATATTTATATCGCCCTTTTATGGAGCTATTATCTAATTTTCTTTCAATAGCTTAATCATATTAAGTCATCCATCAATGAAATAATGAAAAGGGTTATCTTTAAATGTAATAAAAATCCCTCATATCCCACATTCAATGGATTCCAATTACTATATGGACAATGAATGAAATGAAACAATGAAATATTTATCACTTAATAAAGACTAATTGTCTATTATGTTAACGTCGTAATGTCGCCGTCGAGTGTCGTCTTGCTTCTCTGATTTTATAGCCCTTTACTGTATCTTATTTTGTTGTAGGTTATTCTACTAATTGTAGATTGATTAGTTCTATCCTACTGGAAAGTTTACTTTGATTTGCTCCGTCACATGCTTCATTTTGTGTTACATTAGATCGCATGTTTTGTATTGTGCTGTACATGTGACTTTTAACTACAAAATATATTGTGTGCGATTCTATCAGTAATTTGTGACTGTTTTTATCGACGATTTTTATTCTGTGTTGTGCTAATGGACCTTTTTTAGCATTAAAAAGTTACTTTAGGACAGATTAAGTTTGCATTCAATAAGCTTTGTAAAAAATAACGGTCAGTCAATCAATTGGCACACCCTGAAGCGTATATATTGAGAAAAAATTTCCCCAAGTTATTTTTTTATTTTATGGGGAATCCACTTTTTTTTGTTCAGAGACACAAAGAGGAAAAAAAAACATTAATGAAAACTAGCACAAGTTCTTCGTACATACGCAAAATGCACAAAAGCAGAAGAAAAACCGGAAGAGTGTATTTAAAAAAAGCTACTCATTCACTTTTTTTTTTGTTTCGGGCTTCCGTTGTGAACGTGCAATATAGAAAAAAATAAATAAAATAATAGTAAGCAGATTCAATAGCAACAAAGGCATAAAACTCAAAACTCATATATAAAAAGTCGACATATACAAAACAGTTACACACTTTGATATTTAAATAGCCACGAACTGACAGCGAAAGTACGGCTAAAAACTGCTCATTTTATGTTCTGGTTGCTTTTGATTTTACTTAATTTCATTTCACTTCCTCCACTCACTCATTCACTTATTATACTATAGACAGTTCATAATTTTCTTTTCTTTACAATGACACTTTTCAGTTTGTGTTCTGTTCTGTTCATTTCTTTCATGGAAGTTGTTAAATAAAGTATGCAAAGATCTGTAGACATAAAGATCTCATTCATAATGAGATGTCGAGGCTTAACATTATTTACTTGACTGTTCTTGTTTCCTCAATTGGATTCAGAGTTGTTGGATATGTTGTCGAGTAAAATTTGAATTTTAAAATTCATTCTTCACTAACTCTCCAATGAAGAACATCAAAAAAATTCTAAATAAGAAGACATTGAAAACGATCGTAAAATCCACTCAAAAATAGAATCATGCACAAATGCTAAGAAATTTAATGGGGACCATTAAACTTACTAGATTCTCAATGACTACTAAATTAAAACAGCATTTAATGACATTAAAATTCGAACCAAAACGTGCCATAAAATTGTTTTGCCCCAAAAACTTCGGCCTAAGTTCAAGAAGAGTAACAAGTATGACATAATAAATTCATTATGAGCTCGTGCAAAAACAGAGAAGTGAAAAAAAAATAATGAATTCATTAAAAACTTTCAAACTCGACAAATTTTAACCGTTAATATTTTTTTTTGATAAAGTAATGCAACTCATGCAATATCAGTCTACTGATATTGTTTAAAAATGAGTGTTTTGTATCTTGTAAACATGACATTTATTTCAGTCATTAAACCAAACGACTTAAAAGCACTCCACTTAGTTCTATTTAATGTAATAAATTGTCTATCCATATATAGTGATAAATGCGTGTATATATACTTGGTTTTTAATCATCGTCACACTACCGATTCATTCATTACACATATTACACATTTCATTCATGAAAAAAAAAACTTCATTATCATTTCTTTTTGCAGTTTGTATTTTATTTCTATATATATAAACAATTTTTTTCTGAATGAAACCGTTCTGTGTGTGATGAAATCGTTCGTAATCATAAATATGAGCGAGCAAGTATGATTTTCTTTCCAATAGAGCGTTTTTATGCTGTCTGAATGTAAAACTTTGTTTTTCTGATAATTCACATAGCTTTACTTAGTATTTACATCTTAAAGCTCTTTAGGGTAGCTAGTTAAATATTAAATCTAAATTTTGACTATCAAATTGACCGATTAAAACAGACTAACGTCACGTTAAAAACTGTCAGTTACAGAAGTTTTACCGATTTTTTTTAAATATTTTGAATCTTTTTTAACCGTTGGAAACAAACTTTATTCAACATAATTCGAAGCTTTTAACTGTTTAGTTCTTTAAAATAAATAATCTTTGACATATTTTTAATGTTTTTGAACTGAAAATGCTTAAATAAATGCAAGAATTGGTGATTTTAAAAATTTTCAGAACAAAAATATCAAAAGTAAACAAAAGTTGTAAATGTGTAAGTGAATTTTTTCACGAATTATAAATTTGTTAATTAATTGTTAATTGAAGCTCTTTTTTCTAATGTGAACTATTTAATAGTGATGAAACATAATTAAGATTATGTTAATTTACTTAAA